GTGTCAGACCCCTTGGAACTAATGCTTTGGGAATTTTTTTTTTTTTTAAATTTTCAAGACAGGGTTTCTCTGGCTGTCCTGGAAATAGCTCTTATAGACCAGACTGGCCTTGAATTTATAGAGGTCCACTTGTCTCTGCCTTCCAAGTGCTGGAATTAAAGGCATGCAGCACTGCTGCCTGGCACAGCCAGTGTTCTTAACTGCTCAGTCATCTTTCTCCAGCCCCACTAGTATAGTTCTATCTCAAAATAGATGTTTATGTGTGTACATGTATATATTTATGCACATGTACATATGCTTATTCATGTGTGTACATGTGTATATTTAAGCCTGGGAGGAATCTTAGCTGAACACCTGACCACACACCCCAGAAAACTGAGCTAGAGAAAGCACATGACTGACATAATCTTCCAGCTCTGGGCTCTTACTATCCCAGGTTATCTCTGTGCCACCAGCTAGGAGCAGACCAGCTTTCTCCACATGTAAACGAAAAGTTCAGAAAACCCTCACATCTTAACAATAGCCAATCCTGCCTCTGCCAAGAACTGTGGTTTACAATGAGGCTGAAACTGTCAATCAGCAGACTCGGATCTGCACTAGAAGATATTTTGTAGAACAGTGCCTAGTAGAAAGTTAATGAATGTCACAAGACTCGGGTCTTTTAACAAGGGCTCTTGTAAAATTAAAGCCTCATGTGAGGAAAGTTGCTCTAACAATATCATAGCACCTTTGCTTCAATTTCAAACAAAGACTATGGGAGAAAACTTTAATAACAGACTCCATGTGATTTTATAGGCAATCATTTAGCAAGTTAATGAATCATTTAACTGTCTTTACTCCATATTCCACTCAGAAAGATAAATCCAAAAATGCAACCTCTTATACTGACCAATGTAACTAAGTACAAATGAAGTAAGTCAATGTGTACCTCATTAGCATGCTGCGGTGTATGTCAGTAAGACAAGCCCTCCCGCCCCAGCCCTGGCAAACAGAGATAAATGATTGTGCACTGCGCGATGATACCTTTAGGTGAGAACTTTGGTTCATGCAGTTGGCTGCCACAGACGTTGCACCCAAAACCCGCAGCCCTGGCACCCAAAGTCAGTCAGCGGTGGTAGCTCTAGGTGTCAGCCGTGCTCCTTCCACAAGACCAGGTGAATACTGTGGTCCGGCATGCTGGTGGCAAAAACTAAGCCCGTGTCATTGTGCCCATCCAGTCCATTCAGCCAGGATGCTTCGCCTGCCAGGAAGCTGGAGCCTCTCTTTGATTTTCTGTACTCTGGCAGAGGCCAGCGGCTAATTAGGCTCTCTGTCCTCAAATCCATGATGTACAGGTAGTGGTTGTCAAACAGCAGGGCAAAGACATCTCCAAAGCCAAGCAAGGCTAAGTTTGCTACCTCAGGTGTCTTGATGACCCTACAAGGAGGAGAGTTCAGAATCATGAAACAGAAGGCAACTTTGCTATAGATCAAATTCCTAAGCAACTTTAGAGCTAGTAAGATTTTTTTGATAAAAAGGAAGCTGTGAATCAGGAATAGTGGTGGATGCCTTTAATCCCAGACAGAGAGAGGCAGATCTCTAAGTTCAAGACTAAGTTGATCTACAGAGTGAGTTCTACGACAGCCAAGGCTACACAGAGAAACCTTGTTGGTGTGTGTGTGTGTGTGTGTGTGTGTGTGTGTGTGTGTGTGTGTGTAGAGGGTGGGGGGGGAGGGGCAGGACAAAAAAAAAACCTACCAGGATAATATTCTATGAGAGTAGTGAAATAGTCAAAAACTGCTGGTCCTTAGTGTGAAAACTAGACCAGAGCACATACTGTAACCTGGACTGAAAATGGGGGGGGAGACCAAACCAAATGGAATATTCAAGAACAGCATATATCTAGTTAAGCTAAACACTCCATCTGATCAATGATATTTTTGTATATAATAAAAAAATGAAAGAAAAAATTGTATGTTATTAGTTTGTTTTATGGTATTGGGAGTTAAGCCCCCCAAAGCCTCAGACAAACTAGACAGATGTCTACCACTAAGCTACCAAGCCCTATAATTAGCTATTACATGTTGGTCTTCTCTCTTCTTGGTCAGTTATTTCCATGACTTTGGTATAATGTTTCTGCTGCTTCCCTGTGTATTTCAGAATGCTTGACTTACAGGTAAGTGTTCAATAAATCCCTTGTAACAAATAAAGCTGTGGTACAAAGAACAGAAAAGAAGAAAATTCATATAAAAGACCAAAAGGAAGCAGGGTGGGGGGTGGTAATCCCAGCACCATCAATTCAAAGCAGGATGTCTGTGGAAACTAGGTTGTGAGGAGTTAATTTCCAAGATTAAAATACAATATTGCAGAATAGAATACAGGACTTGCCGTGCTGATGCAGAGCCCAATTCTGACCTCTTTAGATGTGGAAACAGGAATTCCTACAGGCAGTTTGGGTCCTGGGCTATTCAAGATCACAGCCATTCTCTACCTAAAGTGCACAACATGCTGCCATTTGTGCTTTTTGTTTGTTTGCTTTTTGTTAGCTTCAAAACTAGAAAGGTTCTAGGAACCAAGGCTGCAGGATTTGTGCTGGGATTTCAAAAAGGTTTTATTTGTGTTTGGAGGTGGAAAAAGGCAGAGACAGAACTGTCTTCTTTTAACTTTAAACCTAGCACTTCCTACCAGCAAACAATCATTCAGGTTCATTACTTAAAGTTAGCATGCTCAAATTCTAGAACATCAATAGAACTTTCAGGATTCTGGGTAGGAAGCACTGAAACAATGGCATGTGCTTGCGTGCGTGCATGCTTTTGTGTGTGTGTGTGTGTGTAGCTCAGAGGACAACTTCCTTCCACCTTCCGGGTTCTGGGAATCAAACTCACATGGTCAGCTTGGTAGCAAGCGCCTTTACTCACTCTGATCTCACTGATTTCTTGTTTTTTGAGACAAGTATTCATATGGCTGACCTTCAGCTTCACTATTTAGCTCAGGATTACTCTGAACTCCAGATTCTCCTGCTACACCTCTCAAGTTACAAAATTACAGCACCTATGGCTCAAGTTCTTTCAGTGTCCTCAGTTTTGGTGCCCTTGGCTTATGCCTGCTATCTGGATAATACAGCCGTGGCTGGATGAATGCTGGACTAGGAGGTGTAGAATATAGGGCCCTTATACTTTTAGGCTGCTTTTATCCTTTTCTCAAAGCATGATTACCCTAGAAGTGATTCTGACAGCTCTGAAACCTAACTAATTATTCTGACTCAGATGCAAATGAGGCTGTAGCTGAGACCAGGGAGCCAGAGCTCATCGACGTCATACTAGAGGACTAGAGTCGTATCCTGTATAAGCTGACCTAGACTGTATTTGTCATGATAGAAACAATGACGTCATACTAGAGGACTAGAGT